CCGTGTGTGTGTGTGTGTGTGTGTGTGTGTGTGTGTGTGTGTGTGTGTGTGTGTGTGTGTGTGTGTGTGTGTGTGTGTGTGTGTGTGTGTGTACTGGAATTTTATAAAATGTCTTTTAGCCACTAGAGGGCATGAGAGACTAACAATCCAATGTGCTTCCAGTCCTTGTATTCATTTCTTAGACTGTTGGTACCATTTTTGTGAAATAACCAGAACATGGAAGACATTTCATTTGTTGCTTAGTCTCCTCACTGTGGATTTTTCTCCTCTTTGTGGTTCTAGTGGGTCCCATTTCACAATACAAATATCACCTGTGTGACTGCCACAGTACCTCTGGAGAAAGAACACACTGAAAATTGTGGTCTCAGAAACTAATGGACTTGATGGGCTGGGAAGGTGGCTCAGTGGTAGAGAGCTTGCCTTGCATGCATGAGGCCCTGGGTTTGATTCCTCAGCACCACATAAAGCCAGAAGTGGCGCTGTGGCGCTTGCCTTGAGCTGAGAGACAGCGCCTAGGCGCAGAGTTCAGGTCCACGACCGGCAAAAAAAAAAAGAAACTAATAGACTTGAGTCCACAGAAGTTTCATGTCTGAGAGTGGTAATAAAAGGCCTCCTTGACTCCTTTTTTACTAAGGAACTAGTTGGTAATGACGATCTTTTTTGATGGTTTCTGTAGCAGAGATTATGCTAACTACTTCTCACCTAAGTACTCTCATATATTACTCATTTGGCATCCCCATCATCCCAACAGAGTGTCCCCATTTTGTAAATGATGCAACTAAAGTTTATAGAAGATGGAAAGGGACGTGTTCTTCCCATAGATTCAAAATTGCTAGTACCAATCTATGCTAGTCTTGGTATGGTTCCAGTATATGGTTTGGGGTTTTGCGGGGGAGAGAGGGTGGTTAACTTTAGGCAGAAGCAATTCCCTGAGTTTGTCTAGCCATGGTGAACTGACATTTTCATATAAGTATATCTGGGATAAAGCCTTGGCTGATTTGAAAGAATTTCCCCCAACAAATCACATGAAGAAGTTGAGAAGCCATGATAAGCTATGGTGACAAAAAGTCTTTTTGGTTGGAGAACTAGCTCTTGACTGTACCATGCACCTGGAGAGCAAGGTGTTTGTGCCCTTGCTTATGAGACAGAAGAAGCTCTTTGTCTTTTTGACTTCCCATATTAGAAGCAAGGGAGCCATTCAAAGGAAAGTTTTTAAAGCCCGAAAAGGTAGCCATTTCACCTGTCCAGTCATACAAGTAGTTTTAAAATAAAAAATGACTGGAGCTACCTTTTTTTAATGAATGTAGTTAGAGTAGTTATTCTTGGAGAAAAACCAAATGTATAGGCTAGAATAAGCAGAACAAGAATAAGTTTGGAGTAACTTCAACTAGAAAAAAATTATAAACATTTACCAAAAGGGTTTCATTTCTAAGAAATGACCATTAGGGGGCAATAGTGGATGCAGTTTAATTTTAGTTAATTAAGGGAACTTCAGAATATCTGAGTTTGGATTTAGAGCTTTATTCTGATTACCCATTGTTAGGTGCAGTCTAAAGTTGCCAGTTGAATGTCATTGATTTGTTCTTCATTACTGGGGTTTGATCGTGGGGCCTTGCACTTGCTAGCCAGGAGCTACACTTCCATTGTATGCT